GGGGAGGTACACAGTTCAACTCTGTACCTCCCCCTCTGCCAAGACTTTATTTTGCGCTGTACCTCCCCCAGGTACTGGCCCAGAATAGTGTTAGGTGGGATGGTGCTGGTCCGGGCTGGGCGCGCGCGGGGTTTGCAACCATGGTTGTAAATAGCCTGTGGCGCCAGCTGCCTTGTCCGTGGGGACCAACCATGGTTGTAAACCACTTGGGGCGCGGGCCCTGCTGCCCGCGGGCTGCCCATCATCGCGACTACCATCATCCTGGCCATGGCCCTGGCTGCGGCGAACCCTAACTGCTTGCAAACCGCTTGGGGCGCGGGCCCCGTTGCCTGCGGGCTGCCCACCATCGCGACTACTATCGTCCTGGCCATGGCCCTGGCTGCGGCTAACCCTAACTGCTTGCGAACCGCTTGGGGCGCGGGCCCCGTTGCCTGCGGGCTGGGCCTGACCATCACGACTACCATCGTGACTACCATCATCCTGGCTAAACCCTAAAAACTCATGCCACTCCACGCTGGACTGCCGGAACATGGCCCGCCGGTGGCTGGTCGTGCCCGCCTGCTCCATGATCTGCCGCGCGTACACCATGCTGGCCACGTGCGACGAATGCGCCGCCTGTAAATCCGCGATGTGCGCCATCCACTGCTCCGCGTCCATCCCCTCCTCGTGGTCGGCATTGAATAACTCCGCCGCGGCTGGCTGCTCCTTCTTGTCGTGGGCGTCGCTTCTGAACGCGCTGGCCCCGCGCATGAACCGCCGGCTGATCCCAATGGTAATATCCCGGTACGCGGGGATGTTCAATGCCTGGCCTAACCGCGCCTGTGTCTCGCGCTTCAATACCTCGCGGAACTGGTTGGACGTCCACGCGCGCTGCGTGCCCGCATTAGGGCCCCATAAATACGGGCTGGCTAACCCTAACCCTAACCCTGATGCTGCTGTGGTGGCGCCTGCGGGTTGGCTGGATGGGTGGGCTAACCCTACCCTGGGCGCGCGAGCTTGGGCATCATCCCTACCCCTATTAAACCCTAACCCTAATCCCCCGCCTGCTGGCTGGGTTACTAGCTGCTGCTGCTGCTGCTGCGCTGCCTGCCACGCGGTCAACTGCTCCGTGAACGGCAACACCAACCACATGTACCACACGATCAACTCCCCTACCGCCCGCGGCACGTACCGGTGGATCAGCTTGATGTCATTACTCGCGTGGAACCCCTTGTGGTACGCCGTCACCGCCGTCACCATGCCGTCCTCGATGAATATATTGCGGTGGCGGCTGGCCTGCGTGTTGACGTGCTGGATGCTCAACAGCTCGGGCGCCCGCGCGGGCTGGCCACCTATGATGTGGATGGCCACTACCAGCTTCTCCTTGAACCGGGCCACGCGGGCTAAATACTGCGCCACTAGCTGGGCCTGCATCTGGCCGTGGCGCATGAACTGGCGCTGCATGGCGGGCTCGCTACGCAGCCGCTGGATCAACCACTGTTTCCCATCTACTGGCCACCGCGTGCGGGTGTCCTGTAAAAAACACCACCCCTTCTGGCCCTGCGTGGGGTCGTCGTACAATCCGGACCATGGGATGGGTGGGAAATCAGTGGTGGTGTTGCTATTACTGGTGTTGCTGGTGGTGGTGCTGGTGGTGCTGGTGGTGGTGGCGGTTGGGGATATATATAATACCTCCCGCAGCAGCTCACGCGCGGATCCTACCAACCCATGAACGAACCCGCGGAACGCGCCCATGGTGAAATGCACGTCCTTGTATAATAACTCATCGCTGCCCATCCATCCCACATGCCCTGGCGTGGTGGTGTTGTAATGCACCTTTAACCCGTACGTGCGCTAATC